GAACTGTGCTAGGTGCTGGCAAATACAAAAGGAGGCAAAAGACAGTCCCTGCCTTCAAGGAACTTACAATTTAATAGGGGGGACTACATACAAATGTACACAAAGCAAACATACATATGTGTATGTGTGCACATAGTGCTTACTATGTGCCAGTCACTGGACCTGTCTGCTCGTTTCCTCGCCTCCCCCAGGACTGTGAGGATGAAATGAGGTAACATCTGGAAAACGTGTTGAGCACAGGACCTGACACATAGTGCTTACAGAATGCTTCTCCCCTTTCCCTTCCCTCTCTGAGATTCTGGGACCCCTTTCTACCCACAGTGCTTTGGTTTCTGCTGTGAGTTGTGACAGTGTGATGAATCACGGACTTGCCATTGGTAATGCTCCTGACCCTTTCAGGGGCTCAGTCTTCTTTAGAACACGAGGGGATTGAACGAATTCCAAAGCCGCTTGTAAGGCCCTGCTCCCGTGCACAGCAGCTCTGCTTGGGCTCTTGTGTTCTTAGGCAAGGTAGTTCCCCTTGATGGGCCTTCTGACTCTTCTCTGAAAGAGGAGTGCTTTGGACTGGCAGTTCTCTCGTGTCCCATCCAAATCTAAGGATCTATGACTGTCTAGGGTCCAGGAAGGATAGCTCTTAGACCAGCTCCTCATGGATTTACGTCTGGAAAGGACCTTAGAAGTCACCGATTCCAACCCAAACATTCTCACACACAAAAAACAAGCCCCAGGTTGGTGACATGATTTGTCCTAAGTCACACAGGCAACAAGACATAAGCATCCCCTTCTTGACTTTGGGGGTCACTGTGGAAGAACTTTCTGGCTTGCTTCCTAATATAATCCAGGACCCTCCTCCTCATGAAGAAGCCCAGTCCTGCTCTGCTCATTACTCCACCTGAAATGTCTGGACTTGAATCCAGGGCCCACCCAGGAGAGGCATGGACTAGGCAGGATCAGTCTCAAGTCATCTCAAGTTGGAGATATGGTTGACAAGTGGTTCTCCAGACTGCTTAAGGACCACCAAGAAGAAGAGGAGCAGGACCAAAGTCAAGGAAAGAAGTTAAAAAGAATTTTAAAAGATGAAATACAATCCTAGAGGAGTAAGGAGTAGCCCTGAAGAGTTATACTCAAAATGGATAAGAAGAAGTTGCTGGCAAGATCAGTAAGGTAAATAAGAAAAGTCAAGTTGAGAAATCAGAGAGTAAAGCAAATTGATAACAGGGGTGTCAGAGTGGCTCGAACTGATGTGTATGGAGATGTGTGCGGCTGTAAGGAATGGACACTTGAATGGGATTGCCAAGATATTAAAAGGTGATGACTGACGTAAACCTCACAACCAGGCATTTAGGGTTAAGGTATAGGCCTCAAAGTAACTTTTTAAAAGGACAAAAAATCTCAACCATTATAAAGAATAGAGAAAATCATGTGGAGCCTTGCATTGCGTATACTAGGGTTATGTTTTGTCTACAGCCAAGTGACTGATGTTCCAAACGTAGGCTGACTTCCTGGAGGAATATCTCTCTCCTTAGTCCAGGTGATGGGGAACAATGAAATTATAAATGAAACAGAAACAATGAGATTTTAACGGGAAACCTTTCTTCCAAGTGCAGAGAAGGGGGCTTTAAACACAGTAGGAAAGTCATGGCTGCTTGTTGAATTGACATGGCGACTGTGCCTGAGCACCACGGAGGAGATCAAAACAACAACACATACCCCCTCCGCCCCCAGGCTCAGGGCCAGAGCAAGTTCTCCTCACAGAAAGTTCAGAGGCAGCAATCTAATTAAACTCTTGGGGGTCATTAAAAGTTTGGAAGTTTCCCAGGTCCCCGTTGCCTAAGTTGGTCACAAGAGACATTTCGGTGCAGGAGCTCAGAGGGGAGGTTGGGGACAGCAGAGGGAAGACACAGGATGTCCTCTCTGGTCCTCATGAGTGAGGATGGAGTAACAGGAACTCTAAATGTAGCCCTGGGTTAGAGCCATCCTGCCCCGGAGTCCACCACCCTTCACCAAGGTAATAGTAAGTCCTCCCTCTTCTCTGGGTCTCTGTCCACATTTCCCTCTCTGTCTCTCTCCCTCTCAGTCTCTCTCTCTCTTTCCCTTTTGCTCTATCCCTCCATGGCCTTTTCCAAATCTGACACCGGGAAAAAGGCTCTGGGCCCTTGTGGCAAGGGAGCCCCAATGTCACCCATATCTGCTCCTGGGAATGGTGGCCACACGGAGGATCAGTCCACTGTGGACTCTATTGGACGAAGTGGGCTTAAGAGGCAAGAGCAATGATGGAGGTTAGACATCAGAGGTTTGACCCTCAGCCTCCTTATCAATCACTGAGTTCAACTTGTTCATTTTTCAGATGAGGAAACTGAGGCAAAAAAAGGGGAAAGCACTTCGCCAAGGTCACACAGAGGACATGTCAGAGCTGGGGTTTAAGCTCCTCACCAGGCCCACCTAGCTGAGTCAGAACAGCTGGGATGGGAGATGTCTGCAATGGAGGAAAGGGTCTGTGAGGCATCTATGGATGCATCTAGCCGTTGTAGTAGACGAGAGTGCTGGGCCTGGAGTCAGGGACAGCTGAGTTTAAATTTGGCCTCAGATACTTACTGTCTGTTTGACCTTGGGCATGTCACTTAACTTCTGCCTGACTCTGTTTCCTCATGTATAAAATGAGGAAAATAATAGCACCTTTTTCCTGGAGTTGTTGTGAGGATCAAATGAGACAGTACTTGTATAGTGCCACCAACATATTTATCACTTAATAAATGCCTGTTTCCTCCTTGCTTTCTTTCTTTCTTTCTTTCCTTCCCCCCTTCCTCCGTATTCTGTTCCAGGTTCTGTGAGGTCAGGAGAGAGTCCCCTGGTCCTCGGAGTCTCTGCTGACAGTAGCTACAAATCACAGATTTGTACATTATGAAGGGAACCTCAGAGGTCACTTGATGGCCCCTTTCCCTGGGCTGCACCACAGCCTGGCATTATGGACTCTCCAAGTCGGAAGGGATCTGAGAACTCACTGGGTCCAAAAGCCTCCTTACGTAACATTAATACAACACCAGAACTACTTAGGGTAACAGAGGGAGCTCTGGGGGCTGGCTGCTTCAGGGCAGTCCACTGCCCCCTCTGGGCTTCAGGTCCATCATCACACAATATCCAAGTTGGAAGGGACCTCATCAGGGATCCGCCAAGAGAGCCCCCTGAAAGGTCTTTGCTCAAAGACCTCCAAGTGAGGGGGACCCCTGGGAAAGCTGTGGGGGCCATACAGAGCATTGCTGGGGAGTTCTGTCCCTGACACTCACTTGCTGGCTGGTTCTGGATGGGGCACTGAAAAATGGGGACCATAACATTATTGTAGCAGGCCATTGAAGACTGCTGTATGGTGCCATATGCCTGGCCAGAACCCCTGGAATTTCAAGCAGTCTGCCTGCCTGGCTCCAGGACTGGCCACCCAGGAGGGAGACGGGTGGGAGGCTCAGCCAGGGCTGGGCTGGATGTCATTCAGGGCCCTTTCAGTGCCACCAGCAGGGTCTCTCAGGGCCCAGGATATGCTGATTTAGCACAGGACATCTGACAAAGCAAGAATGGGACAACAGACTGACCTCTAAGGACATTGGTCTCATTCTCTGAGGAGGCAGGAAACAGGTACAAGGGCCAGGGTCCAGCCTCACCACCAACACTGTCAGCTTCCTCCTTTGCTCCCATGGTCTATGAATGCCCTCCCTCCCGGGGGGGCTGTTGTGAAGGTGCTGTGAGCCCCCACAAAGTGTAGCCAGTGCTGTTTAACTGTGGGTTTCTTCCCCAGAGCAGGCAGGGGCCACCCCCAAAGTACTAGAACATTTTCTCCTCTCTAGTTCTCAATGTTACTGCCTATAAAGGAGGCCAGGAACAGTCTGAAAGAAATCTTTTCAGGGAGTTCGATCAGGGCTTGGCTTGTGAGAGGTGAGGAACATTCAGAGACAAAGCCCCCCCTAATTTTTTCAGAAAAGGAAGAGAGAAGGGCATGGTCACTCAGCAGGTCTGGAGCAGAGCTAGGGATCTGAGTCAAGCTACACACAGGACAAATCAAAGATGATCTCAGGCAAGAGGGTTATGGAGTTTCTTACAAGGTTTCTTACAAAATGAACTTGAAGGAAGCTAGGGAAGGCAAGAGGTTAGGTCCCCATAAGGGTTATTCCAGACATCTTTTCTCACTACACATTATGTCACCTGGCTCCCCCTCCCTCAGCTCCCCTCCATCCCAGTCCCTGCTATGGGCTTGGTCCCACTCACTCGTATCTATCTGTGCTCTGGACCACGTGGCTGGCCAGCTGCACGTGTTCCAGAGGGACCCTCCCAGTGTTCACAAGCTTGACTCCATGGATTCTATTACACGGCTGGTCCTCACATATGACATGCCATCTCTCTGCATCATGTGTGTAGACTATCTAAGCCCCTGGAATGCTCTCCCTACTCACCTCTGCCTATTAAAATCTTGGCTTCTTTCAAGGCTTAGCTCAAATCCACCTTCTGAGGGGGACTTCATGGACACCCTCCCAACTGCCAAAAGATCCTCTCTGAAAGTACTTTCCATTACCCAATACATGTATGACATACACACGCATACTTACAAACACATGTGTGGAGGCATGGCTATAGACACATGCATATACACATATATGTTTATCTTGTGCATGCCTAGCTATTAACACGTCTGCACAACTAGGGTGTAGATTCCTTGATGACAGGATGGCACTGCCCATTCTTTCCTGTTCCCTATAGTCTACCACAGCGCCTGGCACAGAGCACTTAATAAATGCTCCTAGAGAGACTTCTCCGGGTCTCTAAAGGTCCACCCATGCATAAGACTCTGTTTTGAGAGCCTCTGACCTCTTTATGCCCTCCCCCCCTTCCAGATGCCTCCAGGAGAGTGGAGTGAGCTGGGGAACCACTCCCAGGGCACTGAGTTCATTCTGCTTGGTATCACAGACCTTCGAGGCCTGCAGCTCCTGCTATTCACTGTTCTCCTGCCCACTTACCTCTTGACCCTGCTGGGCAACTTGTTCATTGTGGTCCTCTCCTTGGTGGATGGCCGTCTGCAAACCCCCATGTATTATCTCCTGAGGAATTTTTCCCTGCTGGAGATGGGCTTCACCTCCATCATCACTCCCCAGGTCCTCAGCCACCTCCTCACAGGCCATAAAACCATCTCCGCACCCAGATGCTTCTCCCAGATGGTCCTTTACTTCACCCTGGGCACTGTGGAGTCCTTCCTGTTGGCTGTAATGTCTGTGGACCGATACCTGGCTATCTGCTATCCCCTGAGGTACCCAGCCCTTATGACCAGCCAAACCTGCCTGGGGCTGGTGCTGGGCTGCTGGGCTGGAAGTTTCCTCTTCCTCTCAGGGCCTTGCATCTGGCTGCTCCTCCTGCCACTCTGTGGACCAAAGGTGCTCAATCACTTCTTCTGTGATAGCACCCCGCTGCTGGCTCTGGCATGCACCGACACCAGACTTCTGCAGCTGTTTGCCTTCTTGGTGGCTGTGTGCACCCTGGCCGGTGCCGTCACTGTGACAGTTGCATCCTACCTCTGCATCATCTGGACCCTCCTGCAGCTGTCCTCTGCCCAGGGCCGGCGCAAGGCCTTCTCCACCTGCTCCTCCCACATGCTGGTGGTCTCCATCACCTATAGCAGCTGCATAATCATGTACCTCCACCCAACCCAGATGGGACAGCTGGACCTCAACAAGGGAGTGGCCTTCTTCAACACCATTGTTGCCCCCCTGTTGAACCCTTTTGTCTACTGCCTGAGGAACAAGCTGGTGCAGCAGGTCAGCAGGGATGTGCTGGTCAAAGGAAGGGGGCCATCTAGGCACCTCAGAGTTTGACTGGGGGGCCCTGGGACCTTCTAGAGGGGTCAGAACATGGATGAAGAGGGAGATGGAAGATGATGGGGTAGGAGAAAAAGCAATGCCTTGAGAATCATAAGCCCTGTGTCTGAGGCTCAGCACTTACACTTAATAGCTCAGTGGTCTTGGACAACTCTCTTCTCTTTTCTAGGCTTCTATTTCACCCTCTGTGAAATCAAATAATTGAATAAGATGATGTCTAAGGTACCTTCCAACATAAACTTCCCATGACTCTCTTTGAGGACAAAACTTGTAAAGGAAGAGTAAGGTGAGGACAAGGAGAGAAAGAGAGACAGAGATAGACAGAGCAGTGAGAGGGGCAGGGCAGGAGATTGGAGGACAGAGAGATGATATAGATAAGAGAAACAAAGAAAATAAAAGAATATAGGGGGAAAAGTATGAGGGAAAAAAAGTGGATGAAGAGATGGAGTGGTAAAGGTAAGGGATGGAATGGAGAGATCAATAAAAGGAGAGACAGAAAGGCATGAAAGTGAGGTGGCTGGATGAGAGAAAGAGTGAGTAGAAGACAAGGTTGGGGGAGGAGGTACAGAAAAAAGGGCAAGAGAGAAAGGACAGCCAGGAGGGAACAAGTCAGCAGATGGGAGAGAGGTGAACCGCAGAATCCCAGAGGTCACCGAGGCCAAATGCTTCCTTTGACAAATTAGGTAACTGAGGTCCAGGGAGGTAAAGGGACTTCCCTGATGTCTCATAGCCAGTAAGAAGCAGAGTGGGGATATGTACCCTGGCCTCCTGAATTCTGTGCTAGTACACTGGGATACTGAATAGATGAAAGTGGTAGAATTTTGCAAATGATGACCACTACTGGGAGCCCGTAGGCTGATTATCAGGGTCACTTCTTGGAAAGGAATGGATGGATACCAAGTTACACAGCTGCTGAGAGCTGAAATGCTGGAATCACCAAAAAAGCTTCTCAACACAAACAGTATGGGCCCTAGATGCACAGAGTCCTGTACCCCCCTCTCATTAGAAGGCCAAGAAAGAGGGGGCTAGTTATAACTCACAATTTCAAAGTCAAAGTAGAAGTTCTCTGTATTTCAAAAAGTCTTGAGAAGCTCGAGCTCGGAGAAGCTTGAGCACTGTTGGGGTGTGATGGGAAGCTTCATACAATGCTAACCAAAGGAGATGCAGTGCCATAGCAGAGGAAGGATGTTCAACAAAGATATGCAGTGACCACATCTTGCTTTTTGAGCTGAGTGCATCTTTTCTGCCCCTGTGTTGGCCACCTATGGGCATCTGATCTAGCCTCAAGAAAGGACTGAACTTTATCACTTTACTCAGCAGCCAGGACTGGCCCAATCCTGAGTCCCCTGAGCCAATCAAGTCCCAAGGACAATTTTAATTTCTTTTAAGGAAAAGCCTACCTGGCTGGGGCCACTGATAGATGGTTCTGCTCCTCCAGTCTTCCTAATCATTTCTCTGTCCAGCTCACCACAGAAGCTCCACCAACCCTCTGTCTTCTCGCCTCATGTCTCACTCTCTCACTTGAGGGCTTCACCTGATTCTTCCCTGAAAAACGGAGGATGTTCACAAGTTTCCTCTTCTCCCTTTCTCATCTCAAATCCTTCTGCTATCATCTCCAACTACGTTGTCCTTTGCCCCTATCTCTAACCTACTTTGTTTCCAAGACTGATCCTTCTGGATGCGCCCTTAATACTCCCCTCTTCTCCAGCACGTTACAACAATATGGTGGCCACTGTCTCTGTTCTTTAGTCTCCTCCTATTAGTGGCTCCTGCCCAGCCACCCAGAAACACTCTTGGCGCTAATCCATATGTAAGAAACCCTTACTCAACGCTGCCATCCCAGGAGCCATTCCTGGTGTTTCTCTTCCCTTTCTAAGCAAAACCCCATAAAATTCGATGCTTACATTCCTTCTCCTGCCATGCCTGCAGTCTGGCTTTGAGCCTCATCACTCAACTGAGACTTCTCCCTCCAAAGTCCCTGATGATATTCTAATGGCCAAACTAAATGACCTCTTCTATTTGACTTCTAGTGCAGTCTGACACTACTGATCACCTTTTGCTCCCAGTGACTAGCCCCTTTCTTGTTTTTTTCTTGTTCTCTTCTATTTTTCCTACCTGTCTGCCTGCTCCTTTTCGGTCTGCTTGGCTAGACCTTCATCCATGCCATACCCATTAACTCTGAGTCTTCCCAAAGGCTCTGTCATTCTTCTACATACTCCACATTACTTGGTGATCTCATGAGCTCCTATGGATTCAACTGTCACCTCCACGCTGATGGTTCCCAGACTGGTCATCTCCCTCCTGACCTTCATTTCTACATCACCAATTGCCTCTTGGACATTTTCATCTTAGTGTCCAATGAGCATCTCAAATTCAGCGTGTATGAAGCAGAACTCATTGTCCTTCCCCCAATGCCTGCCCGCTTCCATATCATAGTACAGGGTACCAGCATGCCCCGGGTAATCCGTGTAGCTATAAAACTGAAAATTGATTTTAATTCTATTTTTAAGACTTAAAGTAAGTTGGCATGAGTTTAATGCTCTCTGAGGCTACCAGGTGAGTCTAAAATCTCCTTACCCTGGTAATTTTACCCTTCACCTACATTCCACAGACACTTGCCTAAAGACCCAGCTTTTTTCTTGTAACTACTTCCACCTTTTCCATTATAGTAATTTATACCTAAAAGCCTGGAGTGAGGAAGACCTGAGTTCAAATCCAGCCTCAGATACTTCCTAGATGTGTGACCCTGGGCAAGTCACTTCACCCTGTTTGCCTCAGTTTCTGCATCTATCAAATGAGTTGGAGAAGGAAATGGCCTTTGCAATGTATCTTTGACAAGAAAACGTTAAATGGGGTCATGAAGTCAGATATGACTGAATACAACAAAAATTTGTATCTCCATCCTGGTACAATTCACCTTTGTAACCTCACCCACTACTCACTCAACCCAACTTCACTTGATTCAAGCAAAGCTACTACATACTACTCCCACTGTCTGCAGCCTAATCCTATTTTCTTAGGACTATTCCTATTCTCTGGTAGGGGAGAAGCTGAGGTGATTCTCATCCTACCTCCTCATTAAAATGTCTATTAATCGTATAGTCTTACCTTTGCCAGGGGAGATCCAAATGATATACTGTCAGGCCAACCAGAAGGAAGAAACACTTAGGTTTAAAAGACCCTGTCAGCTCTCACTCAGGGTCTAATTTATTGGTTACTGTTAGTCTAATGAATAAATTGATTATGCTGAGACCTTTGGTTCTCAGTTTACCTTAATTTTCAAGCACAACATTTCCAACCTGTTTCTTGTCTTTAACTTCTCCCTCTCACTCACTCTCTTCTCATGTAGCCAATGAGTCTCCAAATCTTGTCACCTTTATCATTATAACACCCTTCACTTCATGACACAGTCTCCACCTTGGTATAGACTCCCATCACTTCATGCCTCACCTATTGCCACTGGCTTTGGGTTTGTCTCGATGCTTCAAAACTCTCCCCAGGGCAGCTAGGTGGCACAGTGGATACAGCACCAGCCCTGGAATCAGGAGAACCTGAGTTCAAATCTGGTCTCAGACCAGACACTTGACACTTACTAGCTGTGTGACCCTGGGCAAGTCACTTAACTCCAACTGCCTCACCAAAAAGTCAAAAAAAAAAAAAAAAAGGTAGTAAGTCAGACTTACAAAATGCTTTAAATATGTTATCTCATTTGATCACAGACCCAAAGCTGGAAAGGACTCTAACTGTCATCTATCCCAATGCCTTCATTTTATAGATAGGGAAACTGAGGTCTAGAGAAGTTAGATGACTTGCCTAATGTCACAAAGGGAGTGAATGGCAAAACTGGGGTCAGAATTCATATCCCCTGACTCTCAATCTAACTCTCTTCCTATTGCACTTCTCCAGGGAAACGGAGGCCTTGAGACCTCAGAATTAGTTAGTGCCACAGCCAAGACCTGGACCCAGAACCTCTGACTCCCAACCCAGGGTCCTTTCACTGGATCACACGCCTCCTGAATGCCTCAGCAGGTGGTCAGCAGCGTCTTTCCAGGAAAACCAAAGCCAGCTAGACTGATAAAGGGCACCTTGGTCTGTCCTTTGGAAGGGTGTGAGATGGGGACTGAAGAATGGCAGAAGACATCTATGTGACACTTGTCCTCACCTACAAAATGAGGTTAGTTGAGATGACCTTGAAG